TGTAGATGAGTCAGTTAGGACTCTTGGGTCCAGCAGCAAGACTGAACATGACAAGTGTCACTACTTTCAGTCATTTACACAGAAATCCCTTGTCACATCCTACAGCAGCTCGGGTCTGTGTTGCGTGTCCCTCGGATGTCCCCTGTGCTGAAGGTTTGTTTTCATGATTGATGGGAAGCACTGTAGCCCCTGAAGGAGTCCTTGGGGGATGACCCACATGAAAAGGAGTGGGTGTGGCCTTGTTGTTCTCTGTCTCTGCTGTCTGCCAGATATGACTCTGTGGAGAAGTGACCTGATACCAGAACCATGCCTTAACCTTCAAAACTGTGAGCATGTGACAGACATTTCATGTCATGAATGCAGACCTGACTAAAACTCTTCCATGAGAAGAGAAAAGCTAAGAATCAGACAGCACTCTTATGTGCTGTTTTTCACACAAGGAAACTGGCAGAGCCAGGATTGTTTGTTCCCAGTGAAAGGAGGACAACCACAAAGACAACCTGGCCCTCTCCCCTGTCCCCACCTGTGGGTTTCTCAACCTGTGATGGTACCAAACTTCTGCTAAGTTCCTGGGATTCCAACCTCACCCAGAACTTGAGTGAGGGCTAGTGGGATATCGATATGCAGGTAAGTGGAGAATCAAGTCCTGGATGTGAAGCAGAGCTCAGAGGCCAAAGAGTGGGCCTAACTGGGATGAGTGGGGCCTGGCCTGAGCTTCACTACTGAGAGTGGAGCGGCCCAGGGGGTGAGGAGGGCATGAGGCATATACAGAGCATCGGGCAAGTCAGGGTCAGACTGAGATGCCAACCTAGTTGGTGTTTTGTGAAGGTGCTAAACTAAATTGTGGGCATTTGGGATTGAGAGGGAAGGTCTGACATTGGATGTTTACTATCCAGGGCAGGAGATGGTTATTGGAAAGTGTATCAAGTTTATATTAAAGCCATGCAATTAAGATTTTTAAGAGTGGATGACAGGATTCTGCCCATATGGGGTGGCAATGCTTGGCTTCAGCAATAGAATAAACTTGAATTTCCCATGGCTCCTTGCAACAGCTACAGATGTGTTGCTCCTGAAGATATCAGGCAATGCACAGAGGTGAGACTGGACTCTGTCCACATGTCATCCAGACCTCGGGCCACAATGCTGGGACTTTGTCAAGCTCAGCCCCTTGTGATGGGAGCCTCGAGTCTCCCACAGGTCTGCAGGCCTTCACCTGAGACAGTACCCAGAAGTAGCACCGGGCTGAAAGTCACAACCCTGAAGAGGAGAGGATGGAGTTGAAACTGGGAGCAGCTCTGGATTCCTGGGCCATACTGGGAGCACGTGGCAGGTGAGGGTCCACACAAAACTCAACAGTTTGAGATTGGCAGTCAGCTCTGCCCACCTGTGACTCTGTTCATGAGCATCACACTCACACTTCCTTATTGTGTTGTGTTTGCGTATTGGTTTTTCTTATTAGTGTGTTTTTTGTTGTATTTTGTTGTTATTGTTGTTATTGGCAGACTGGGGATTGAACTCAGGCCCTTGTGCTTGCCAAGGAAGTACTTATTCTACTGAGCATCTCCCTGGCCACTTATTAGTTTTTATGTATACTCTTATAAACACTCTAGAGCCTCACTGAATCATCTAAAGAAACAGTGACCTATTCTTCCACAGGGTAATGCACATGTATGTACAAGTGGATGTGGGGGAGAGAAGAGGGGCAGGAAATGTCGACTAATGCATTCAACATGAGCATCAGGTCCATCAACATGGCTTATTTTATTGCTAAAAAATAGAAATAATGTGTTTCTTGAAATTTTTTAAGAAAATAAGATAAACATGATTTATCATTTACTATTGATAGATTCACAAAATTAACTTTCTTTTTTTATTGCATATGTATATCATTCCCTCAAATGTAAATATAAATACCTTTATGCATTTTTTAAAAAGTGGTATATTTCCATGTATATAAAATTGTCTAATATTATCTTCTGGAAGAATAGTTCACCTTATTTATTAATATTGTTTTCACAAGTTTTTATAATAACATGAACCTCAGTGCACATTTTTACTTTTAGAATAAGGTCCTAGAGGGCTGACCAGATAGCTCAGAGGACTAAAGCACCTGCTTAGGCAAAGCGCAGCATCTAGGGGTTGGATCCCCTGTGTATCATGCTGGCCCTGCTGAGATGAAGATTGAGACTGGGCACGCTGGTGCATGCCTGTAATCCCAGTGCTTGGGAGGCTGAAAACAGGAGAATCACTATGAGTTTGATCTATGTAGTGAGACCCTGTAGACCCTGTACTAAATACATTAAAAATAATAAGGTCTTAGAACCATAATTGCAAGTTCTGTGTTTATGGCTCTGTAAGAGTTTTGATGAGCATCATAAAATTACACCCAAGAAAGATCCTAAACCAAGACAAAAACTTTCAGACTTGAACAATTTTTCAACAATGGTTATTGTTTGAAAATATTTGTAATTATATCTAAAAGATAAAAAAATGAGTTAAATGTTTGACTATGGGTTTCCTTGATTTCCAATGAAAGGAATATTTATTTGCATTTTGTTGGAGTTCTATTTCTTCTTTCTGTAAGACACTTCCTGATTTTTCTGGGGCACATTCAATGTTTTTCAAATTCACAAAGTATTTTTAGGGTAAAAAGCCATATATGTTGTAAATGTTTTTGTAGTTTTATTTTTTTATCCTTTGGTGTGTTGGAGCTAAATGTTGTTTTTTAAAAAGAATACAATAAATGATAATAAAAAATAGAAATGATACAGAATTTCACTAAACAAAATAATGTAAATTCAACAATATTTGTTGTATTGCATAGTGTTTTCTTCAAATTAGTTGTTTAGATTACCAGATACATGTTTTAATTTTTACACAAGCAAGGCATCACTTTTTTCTTGTGTGCTCCACCTTGGGTGCCAGGCATAAAATATCCTCCCTATCTCACTTACAGCTACCTGCACTGTTGTCTAGAACTTTGTGGTTTTATGGTTTTGTCTTTCAAATTAAATAATGAGCATATAAGAAATTTATTTTTGTAGTTGAGTTAAAATATTGACAATTTACAAGGTTAGCATATCAAAAATAGCATTAAATATACACTTTATCCATCACATTAGCTATTTATTAAATTCACATACACCTAATCTCTACACAACACCACACACACACACACACACACACACACACACGTGGGCATATGTATATGTGTATTTTTATATATCAGATTCAGTTTCTACATAAATATATAATATATATGCATGTCTATATTTTCTGTGTTATTGGTCTCTCTTTTCTGGACACTATAATCTCTTTAATTATGTATTTTACCTCAAAGACATTTTCTGATATCAAGAGGCAAAGCTGATGCATCTTTTTTTCTAAACACCCATTTTCCTTTTCTGTTTCCTTACCTACTTTAGTATGGATTTGCTTTGTGTTAGTGTCTTCTCTTACTCTTTTTCCTTTCCATCTACAGTTCCCCTGTCTTTTATTTATTGTTTATGGATATAATTTAGAAATACATATTGATCATTTTCATCATAGGAAATTTTTAATGTACTTGAAATATATTATGCCCCCTTTTTTTTTTGCCCATTCCTCTCCCTTCTACTCCTCCCTCCTCTCAAACTCTTTTCCCCTCCCTAGCTACAAAGCTTTGTTTCCATTTGATCCTCCTTTTCTCATTTTTTCTTTTCCCTTCCTTCCTCCTCCCATTCCCTTTCCTATTGAACAGTTTCTTCCCTTGTGTTTCTAAATAGCCTAAATGATTAGGGTGAAATCTTCCTAGACTCGGCTTCAGCACATTTCATGCAAAGGTATGGCAGACAGGGTCCAAAGTCCCAAGACCATCAAATTCCTTAGGAACAGTTATGAGCAATGTGACCCTGTGTGCTAAGGTCCCCTGTGTCTGCACGTGGTCCACATTCTAAGAGCTCCCCACACGTTTTCATCTTGTGGGTTCTCCATTCATAACTCTGAAGGACCATGCTTTAGAGAATCACTAGGAGGGGCAGAATAAAATCTGATTGTCATGAGCTGAAACAACTCCTCAGAGGCCTGGCATGTCTGAGAGTGAAACAAGCTGTGCTGGGGTGTTTAGAGCAGGTGGCTGCTCTAAGCAGTCTCTGAGGAGGCATTCTCCCAGCAGGTACAACCCAAGTAGAGGCATGCCCACCTTCCACATGATTGTTGACCTTAGTGGTACACCCCATCCATCTCTGGGGACCACAGAAGGGCTGAGGGCTAGGCTGCATATGAGCTGTGCCTGGGAAAAGAGAAGCAACTGTCCCACCCAGGGCGGTGTCCAAGGCTTGGCAGTAGAAAGGCCTTGGGGCACAGATATCTACCCATGGGAATCCTCTCTGTCTCACTGGTTTGCTATGGTTCATTCCAACCCCGTGGAGGGTCACCAGTAAAAGCAGGCCTGAACAGGAGACACTCCCAGAGCCTGGCTCAATGCTACAGGGATGCCTCGGCAGAACTATCCATGCCCTGCAGGCAGCCTCTTCCTACCTGGGCAGTATGATCCCTGCAACAATCTCTGCCCATCACCAGAAGGTGGTCTGCACCAGTCTTCACTCAGGTTGGAGAGAAAGGAGACAAGCTGATTCTCTTTGGGTTCTGCTTTAAAGTTTAGCTCTTGGGAAAAAAAAAAGTAAAAAAAAAAAATAAATTTAGCTCTTGGGACATTACAGAGTCTTTTTTTTTTTCCTTTAACTGAGTAGCTGCCTAATGAGGTCCCTTTATAACCACTCCAAAGTGTGCTTTCAAAACAAAAGTTAGAAAGCTCCCTGGTCCCTCCATGAAGACGGCTCTGTTTCTGTTCAAAACCCATCCTGACCTTTTTGTTGAAGAAGAACAAAATAATGTAGTAACAAAAACACAAGTGGCTGCCAAGGGAAAGGAGAGAGGAAAAAAAAGAGTTCCTGTAAGGGACTGAAACAATAAATCTCTCTGCTGAACTCCCTGAGGGAGTGCGTGTGTTTCCTCCCGTTCTTTATCAGAGTCCCCAAAATAAGTAGGGGTGGGCAGGGCCTGCAGGGGTTCCGCATGCCTTCTCTCCATTTGCTGTAGGCCCTCAGCAGGAGGGATCCTTCCCTGCCGCATCTGTAGAGGAGCCTGGAGACCCCAACACCATGACCCAGCTTCCAGCGGCAACCGCGCTCCTCTTGCTCTCCAGCCTCTGCAGCGGCAATACCCCAGGTACCATGTTCTCTTTTCCTTAAGATGGTGAGTCTGACAAGCAACTCCGGGGGTGGGGCTCTCGGCCTCAGTTTACCTTCAGGGAGCTTCTTCTGAGACTCTGCTGGGTTGACATGTAGGAAGCACACTGCAGCGTGGGGGGAGAGCTCCACAGAGAGCTCCTTCCGTGTCCCAGAAAGGAATACCTACAGGAGCGACAGCCTTGAAGGGTCCCCTGGAATCACAGGGGCACACAAGACAACAGGGGCTCTTTTAGAAGAGTAGAGTGTTGACCAAAAGTGTACTCTTGCTCAAAAAGTCTTTTTAGATAGAAATCTAGAGGTGATGAGATTGTTGGGTAGGGCTGAGGAGCTGTACTGGAAATGTGCATTGTTCCTGCTTGCCTGCTTCAACCTCCACTGTCTGGGCTCAGAGAGTTTGGGAGCTTGGGAGAAACTGTCCTGGATGAGAATCGTAGTGTCCAGAGAGGTGGGTGGCTCGGGAGAAAATCGTTTGACTGCAGTCTATACACTTGGCACAGAAATATTTTCCCAGCTGAATGTGTACACACTCTATTTTGATATCATTTTAGGAATTCATAGACATAAAAATCCCACCACTGATTATAGGGTAAGAAATTTGGGGAGAGGATGTGTGGTCCTACATAAACCCTGACTATGTTAATGATCAACTGCAAGAAATGATCATATCTGCATTTTAAACCTTCCTGAGGAATTCAAAACCAAAAATTAAATGTAATCAATACTTGTTAGGCTCTCACTCTGTGGCAGTGCAAGAAATAAAAAATGAGTAAGACATTATTTCTTGCTCATGGCTGGAAAATAAACAAGTGATTCTAATATAAGACAGATTTAATAAGTGAAAACCAAAGTGCAAACTATCATAAAAGATCACCATGGGGAAGATTGATATTTTTACTCTGAGAAATCCAGGGGGGAGGGGTGGGATTACAAAAAGAAAAAAGAATCATCTCTAATTTTATTTTGCTTATGCTCTTTTCAAAAGTTTTTTTTCCTAAAAATTTCTAGTTTACAGTGGCATTGTAGGCAAAAATAAGCACCTGCCTCCTTGAGCAACTCTTTATCCATCATTATTCACAGTATCTGCATAAGTTTGGGACACATCCCACAACACTTCAAATGTCACCTACCCTTGCTCTCCACACCACTTGGAGTCCCCAGGGTTGGGGTACTCCAGGTTTCGAGGCCAGACAAAGAGTGTGACTTTTAAAATGAAAAATATCTATGAAGTGTTGCCAAAGTCAATGTGCAAGTTTATCAGTACCTGCTCGGTAGGCATGGTGAAACTTAGTAAGAATCTGCACCATGCAAAACCCGCTCGTGAGTGATACTGAGTTCCTCTAGCTTCTGAAAGCCCGAGGTAGAGTGGCCACTCTGGTCACTGGGTCCAGAGTGCAGCAGGCTCCTCACAGCTGTGGTGGATCTCTCTGCACTACCGCTCCTACACACAGCAGAGTGGGAGGTGGGGGTAGAGACATCTCTGGGCCCTGGCTGGAGGGAGTCTTGAGGACAAAGACGTGGCAGAGGCCTGGCAGCCTGAAGGAAGCTTTCTTTTTTTTTTTTTTTCTTTTCAATTAATTTTATTGAGAAAGAAATAACAATGTGTCAGTTTCAAAACAGGTTGGTAGGACAGTTACAATAATTAATACATTGCATATTGTTGTCTTCATAGTACCTATTCATAGTACAAGATGCAGACATGATATCTTGGCTAAACACTATTAGTACAAATCTTTCTTCTCACTGAACTAAGACAGAGTAGCTGTATATCTATCCTATTTTGTATATATAGATATATATTTTTCACTACAAAATGGTCCTCCATTATTTATTTATTTATTCACTATTTTTTTCACATTCTATAGGGATTTAAAGTTTAACTGAACCAAAAAATGAAGGATGTTTTCTGTTATGAGCACTCCTAGGGACCTTGCTAAGGACCTGTCTTCAGTGCACTGCCTTTCTAAAGAACTGTCAGCCCCTGGGAGAATTTCCCATTGAACAAGGAAGATAATTATATAACTATCTTCTTCAATTTCTGCCACCAAGCCCACTTGTTAATTTAAGGCGAAATTTAAGTTCAGGAGAAAAAAATAATGGTAAGAAAAACACACACTGCTGCGCTCATGTTAGAAAAGGAAGTTGCGGCTCAGGAGCGTGAAGCGGCCATCCGAGTGCGCCTGCCCGAGCGGGAAGCGAATTTCCCATCTGCTGGGGCACTTTGTCACACCTGCCTCTGCCTGGTTTACATTTCCTTCCCAGAGTGCACAGGAAATGAAGCATTTCCTAAGGTGATCCGGTAAGTTCTTTCCTACATGTTTGAACCAGGAATACACTGATTTCAGAGCTTTCTGTGTTCCCCAAATTTAGATGGATTAACAGGTTTTATCAGCAGTTGATTACAGTAAGAAACATTTCCTCTGCTTCAAATTCACAAGTTGTCAGCAGCTCCAAGCCTTTTTTGCATAATAATAATAATTCCTTTCTAAATAATAATTTTTTAGAGAAATTGAGTACTTTTCTCTTCTTATGTTTTTCTCAGTCTCAGACCTAAAAAAGACAATATAGGCTTTTGTACTTTTTGTCAAGATCAAGGGAATCTCTGCATGACAGTGAGTGACTTTTATTACTCAGTTAGTGGTATAATATCTTATAATGTCCAATTTGGAAAGCTGTTCTTTTGAAATATGTATAGAAAGCTTCTAAAAGGAGACTGTCATTCTTTCCTGGGTTTTCTAAATTGTATTTAAAACTGAACAGACCCCTACAGTGGCTTTAAGTTCCTTTGGCTTTTAAGTCAAGATCAATGAGCTTTTTTCCTGTGGGACTGAGAGATGTTAAATAAAGAGGGATTCTAAGTAAAAGCACGCCCTGGAAACAATGTGTATTTAGTCCTCCAGCGCCATTTGCTTTTTCAAGTTGACATTAATTTAGGAGCGATCAAACTGTTTCGGACATTTGCAAGCAGGGTTAGACACTACTTTATCGATACCTGAAAAGGGATTCGATTATTTTGGAGAAATTCATTTATTAAAAATGGGATATTCAATTTCATGAAACAAAAATTGACAAACATATTCTAAGGAAACACGGTGCTGACTAAGCACTGCAGGTTTGCAGAGGTCCAAGCGACTTGTTTCTTTCCCCAGACAGGAGAGGTGGGAGGATGTCACAGAGACCTCAGGGAGCGTGACACTAACATTGCCGTAGAAGGCCAGAGACACAGACCTGTCAGACACACCTTTATTCTTTAGAATATTTCTATTGATGAATTATTAATTTTAATTTTATGAGTTTAATCATATTAAACAATGAGTACTTAATGAGGAAAAAATCACAGAAATAAAGTATTGAAGTTTTAATGTTTATTGAGTATTTAAAAAAGTGTCACAATTTTCAAAATCAGCTGGGTTTTGGTGTACCAAGTCTTATCATGACCATCAGAAATAGAATCCTACACAAAGTAAATTGGGAATACTAATATCCTTCTACAAAAAAAACCTCTTTGCTTCAGTTCTCACTCCTGTCGTGTGTATCATCTGTACACGTGGCAACAGCGTGTTCCACACACATGCATTGCTTACTGTGACAGCACACGTCTTTTCATTTTCCTGACCTTTTTGCAAGGCATGCTTGACATCTCAGGGATCTTGCTGTTTTGTCAGAGGTTCTTATTTTATTATATAGTGTGGATAACAAAAACATAAAATATTATTAAACAAAATTGTTAAGTCATTAATATGTATTATGCATTTAGAAGACACATCAACATCTTCACATCAGCTTTTTACTTGCTTACAAAATTTAAAATATAACATCAAAAATGAAAACCTAGGCTGGGGAGATGGCTTAGTAGAATAACCTCTTGCCTGGTAAGTGTCAAGGGCCTGAGTTCAATCCCCAGTCCCGCCAAACATAAAAATAAAATAAAATAAATACCTATGTGAACTACAATGTAAGCACTACAGAAATAATCTTTCCTACAGCTATCACAACTAAGGTAGTTTTCACATGTGACAAATTCTTGTTTCATAGACAAATATTGCTTTAACTTATAGAAAGTATGTTTTCTTTTCCTGTCCTTTCCTGTAAAACACAATTGACATCATTTTTGTTTTCCTGATGTCATAGTAGGTCTTTGTTATGCTCTACCTGACTGTTTACCTGTCTGCTCAGTGTGATACACAATATTTTTGGGCAGAAACATTTTGTTTATCCTGTGTTGCATGCTCTTTCATCTGAGGGATAGCCACAATCCTCTAAGAAAGCTTCTCCATGATATTTTGCACTTGTTATTTTATTTGTACACTATCAAATTGTTTATGTCATGCATGTTTCAGATTGAGTAAAACGCAATCATAGGCCAATGCTTCATGTTTCATGTGATACCATGGTTGCTCTATAACTCAACATCTACTCCACCTTTTGTCTTATAGAAAGCTTCCATCTTAAGCTTCCATTTTGTTGAGGTTTCCCTATCAATATTTCCATCACAGTGGAGTGTTGACATCAGTAGTACCAGTTTGTTTTTCTTTTTATATACGAGCCAATGTACTATCTTTCTGAAATCCAAAGATTGCACTAAGCAATTCTTTGTCTTGCAACTGAACCATTTCACTTGGAATTTCTGCTTTGTTTTTGCATGTGGTTCCTGCGCTAGTCAGCTTACATTCTGTCAACAAAGGCAACATCAATTGGAAACAGCAAACCAGCTGTCAAATGTCACATTCTGATAGGTTGGGAGATGGGAGCAACAAGTCTGTTCACAACACATTCAGTTCATTACTATATAGATAAGGACCTAAATACTGAGTCCCAAGATAAATGTCAACAGAAAATATAATAAATCTCCATATCTAAAAGGGCATAACTTCTATTCTATATTTTGATCCATAACTTTTCCATAAGTCTTTCACATTATTGTGATTACCAAGAGAAATATCTGTTAAGTATAGCACACCTACAAGTGCTTGTAGTTCA